CCTTAGCACAAATAGGGCAATCTCCACTTAGGCTATCAATGCAAAGTAGGACAAAATTTTGCGTAGGACAAAATTTGGCAACAAAAGGAGATGAGTTGTGATAGTTAACCAAAGAAGTGTTTACTTCTATTTTTTTCAGTTAGATATATTTTAAGAACTTAATGTTATGGGGCCAGAGAAATAGTACACAAGGTAAGGAGTTTTCCTTGCACACATCTGACCCAGGTTCAGTCCTTGGCACTTCACATAGAACCCAGGCCTACCCTACTGGAATAAGCCATGAGCACAGTCCGGTGTGGCCTGGCCCAATATTATGTATAAAATGTTGTATGTATAATATGTATATATATTTTTTAATAGATTATTGAAAATTTTCCCTGAATATCTATTACTTTTGGAGAGCCTGGCAAGCTACCAAGAATATTCGATATGCCAGACACAGTAACAACAAAGTCTCCAATGGAGACGTTACTGGGCCCGCTCGAGCAAATCGACGATCAACGGGAGGGCCTTTACCTTTACCTTTACCTTTATCTATTACTTAATAAAAAGGTATTTTTTAAATTTCACTGACTCTATTATAGGAAACAGTGTTAGTGTGTTTCCACTATGATCTGACTTTAATATGCTATGATTTATTTATGCCCTGAAGCCAGATTTTGTACATATATATTATGCAGGATCGATCTATCAATTATCAAGTTAGATTTTTCTTAAGTTACTTGTGTATTTCTTTCAGATTCTGACTTGATATGTTCTAAAATAGGTTATATAGACTTTGAGGATAAAGGGAAAAGGGAGAAATCTGTTGTTTATTCCAGAACAAGTGAGCAGAAATAAATATCCTGAAAATTAGGCTTATATATTCTTAAGTTATCTGTCTATCAACTATCATTTACCAAATAGAAGTAATGCGGGCACTTCTGTTTGGGTTGAATATTGACATATCTTGAATTTTTTAAGAGGTGTTAAACATATTTGAAGAATCTAAATTGAGAACCGTTTTGCTTTTTTTCCAGAGCCAGAAACTCTACTCACCTAATGACACTTTATTCCTCTTTTAAGGTCTTTGATAAAGAATTATTGTTTAGTGTCTTTTGAGAAGATCCATTTTGTAAAAGTTCTTTTACTTATCTTCCAACTTTTGACTCAATCTTTTTTTCATTTGGTAGAAAAGTTTGTTTCTTTTTACTGAGTAGATTTGCTTTCCCTAGTATTTAATTTGTAACTGCGAATCTAGTTTGACATCTCAGCAGAAGGAAGACATACCTTCAAATTCTAGAGCTGAAAACATTTTCTCATTTCTCTCCAGTTCATATTTTTCTGCTAACCATAGCGATATCAAGAAAGCTCCTCTTGGGGGTATGGTGCCACCAGCAGGTTAGTCTGTACCTGTGAGGTGAGTGCATCAGCAGCCTCATGGCACCTTCAGACTTCCAGATACCCCCAAATTGGTGCTGTGCCTTTGGCCAGACCCCAAAAACTTCGGGCAAACTTTACCAAGAAAGTAAACCTCCAAAAGTTAGGTATGTGGGAGACACACCCACAAACCACCTCTGGCTAAGCTATATAATTGGAGGCAAGGCCTCTCTGGTTCCTGATTGAACTGTTTAACGGCCATAATCCCTGAGACTCAGAAACAAATCTTGAAACCTAATGGATTTTGGCAGAAATGCATGTGAACCGCGTAGTAGGTTGCTGTCACCCAGTCACCCCGTGGGGAAAAGGGTGCTGTCCCTCCACCAGCTCCCCCTTGGCGGCCTGGTGGCTGCCATCTTCCAGAGGCCATTGGACAGTCAGGTTTGCGCCCACAGTGACGAGACACGATGGGCCTCATGGGATGGGGGTGGAGCTGGCCATTTTACCCCCCCCCACACCCCCCCAGTCCCAACGAGACCATGAGTCCCTGCCCACAAACGGCCTCTCTGGCTCCCCATCAATTTGCTTAATAGCCATGATCCCAGAGACTCAGTAATAAATCTTGAAACCCAGAGGCTTTTGGCAGAAATGCGTCCAGACTGCACAGTAGGTTGCTGTCGCCAGGCCACCCCACGAGGGAAAAGATGCTGTCTCCCTGCCTGCTCGCCCTTGGCGGCTCCGTGGCTGCCATCCACCAGAGGCCATTGCACAGTGAAGTTTGGGCCCGCAGTGATGAGACAAGCAGGGCCTTATGGGAAGGGGGTGGAGCCAACCCTTCCTCTCCACCCCAATGCGACCGTGAGTTGCCGCCCAGGAACTGCCTCTGTGGCTCCTGATCTAGCTACTTAATGGCCATGATCCCAGAGACTTAGAAACAGATCTCAGAACTTTGCGGGTTTTTGCAGGAAATCTCTCCAGATTTAATTGTTAAAATTTCGGAATTTCAAAATTGCACAACCATCACTGCAACCATGCGACATCATATGTTATTCATAACCAGTAATAGAAAACAAATTGTCTACTGTTGCCTTTTTGGCAGATCTGAGTGTTGGGATAAAATCCCAAATAATGACGGTGGGTGTGGTATTGAAATATTGAGTGTAATCAAAGTATAGAGAGAGTAATTTGGAAATCATCTGCCCCACAGGTAGGGGAAGGGTGTGGAATGGGGGTATACTGGGGATTTTGGTGGTGGATGGTAGTCACTGGTGAAGGTACAGGTGTTTCATTGTATGACTGAGACTTAAACCTGAAAGCTTTGTAACTGCTCTCATGGTGATTCAATAAATAAAATTATAAAAAATGGAAAAAAATGTAAGGCAGAGTTTATGCACAATTCAATCAGCCTAATCAGTGGCTGAATAAATAGCAGTATGCCTACATAAAAAAAAAAAAAGAAAGGTTCTCCATGTTTTCAACTCTGGTCATATTTTTGGACTCACAGATTTTTCTTCAAGTTATAGATAGGCACTGGAAAACCATGTAGTAGGGCTGGAGCAATAGCACAGTGGGTAGGGCGTTTGCCTTGTATGTGGCCGACTCGGGTTTGATTCCCAACATCTTATGTGGCCTCTTGAGCAGTGCCGGGGGTAATTTCTGAGTGCAGAGCAAGGAGTAACCCCGGTGCATTGCCAGGTAAGACCCAAAAAGCAAAAAGAAAAAAAAAAGAAAGAAAGAAAAACCATGTAGCTCACACACTATTTTAAATAATCAGTAATGAAACCACAAATGTGTGGATTATTTTGTTTAAACATTGCTAGCATAATATTTTAAATTAAAAGTATTCCTGTTCACTACTTGAATGAGCTATATGGGAGAAACTAACCTCCTCTTTAAAATATAAGAAGTTTAGATTCCCTACAGGAACAGAAATATGGTGACAAGGAATAGCTCTACCTTTGAAAATGAACACAAGGTAAGATCAGGACCTTTAAAGATTTAATCATATATTCAAGCTTGCATAATAACTTGTAGAAGTGAGTTCTGAGTGTCAGATTTGAAAGGTCAATCAATCTACTAGTCCCTTGGCATTATTTAAAGATATACTTCAGAAATCGTTGCTAATAATCAACTTTCTAAATGTCACTATAGCAATATATATTTGTAGATTGCTCACGTTAAAAGGTGACACAGCAACTATTCCACAGAGTGGTGAACATCAGTATCAAGAATAGATTTTCCTAAATAAAGCATTATTTCCTAATTCCTTTTCATTTTTTACCTTGGTGAGTATTTATGGTAGAGTGGTTAATCAGGAAATTTGCCCCCTGTTATGGAACCCTAAACTATTAAGGTGATTTTATTTTTACTTTGCCATTACATTATAAACAGTGGAGGAAAAAATCAAAATTTCACCAAATCAGAAAAGCAAAATAAATAAATTTTTTGGCATGTGATTTTGAATATCAGAAGAAAGAACACACACATTAAAGGCTAGTGGTTTGTTTGGTCAAGACATTTTTTTTCTAGAAAATTTTGGAAAATATTTATTTATTCTATGAAATTATTAAGTAATCCTGTTACCATTATCTTCTACAAATGCTTAGTTTGTGTCATTGTCCTGTACCAAGTTTTACTTTGACTTTCCTTGAGGCTTATTACTCCTTTTCTATTCTTTAAATAAATTCCTTATCCTTGATTTTATTTTTGCCAGCAAATAAATCCAAGTGACATTAAATTACACTTACAAATTCCCATTGAAACAAGCACACTGAGTTAGTTAAACTCACTGCCTAGAATAATGATTCCCTTCACACCATTCTCAAAGAATAATAGGATGCCTTAAGCATAACTATATGTAATAAACTTTAAAAAATGAAATGCACAAATTCCAACAGTATAGGAGAGAATCATCTGTTCCCAGACAATGCAGGAATATGCCCATTTTGATTCTGAAAATACATGACATCTAACAAAGAGTTTGCAAACATTTTGTCTAGTATTAGGCTTGCCTTTCAAAACTGGAGAAGTTACAGTGATGTGGCTACCTTCACCACACAGAAGAAATTCTAGTACTCAACTATTAGACAAAGAAAATCCTGATGCTACTTCTAAGAGACATTGTTTGCATGTCTCTCCTAACTTTCATTTATATATAGGAAAAATACAGATTACTTGTCTACTGTTTTATTACTATTTTTCTGGCATGTGTAGAAAAATCACTGATATTCTCCTTTCTTGCCTTTCTTTACTGTTTCTCCTCTCCTTGGCCATTGGAAGTATTATTTGGTGAACCTAGGACCAATACTTTTTCAGTTTCAGAGATTAGCCGATGAATTGAGTCAACTACTATACTTCATCGTGGAAAATTCATAGGGCAGATAACTCTCGGTGTGTGTGTGGGGGGGGGGAGGGGGTGGAAGACAGAATTACCCAGAATTTCCAAGACCCTAAACAGGTTAGATTTTGAAACCCTGTTTTAGCACTGAACCAACATTCTTAGATATGAACTGCATCATTAACAAAAGTGGTACTGACTCTCCATTTGTCTGTTCTTTTAACTTCTTGAACCTTAGAACTTTGTTATAGTATGGTTAGAGTAGTAGTCCCAGGAAAATGGATGGGTCGAACTTGGAACTAACCTTATCAAAATTTCTCCAACAGGTCCTGATTTTCTTGGGACAAACCAAAGCTACAGAAGTACTCCAGATTTCTGCCAATGATGTTCCTTTGGAATCTGGAAGAAGAAAACATTTTGTTTTTGAAAAATCATGCTGTAAAAATGAGAACAAATTTATCTGTCATTTTTTTCTATTCCCAACACTACATGGACCCCTGAGCAGTAGTTCTGAAGCACCCCGGTCACAAAACTTCTAGTGTTGACTCTGGAGGGTTGTAGCACTTTCAATGTGGCTCTGATGGTCCCTTGGACCTCTAGGTTTCAAGTAGCACTGCATCCTCAAACCCAAGTATTGAAATGTCAGGACATTTGGTCCCCGGCCCCCCACCCTGGAGACCTGAGATCATCTTGAAAAATCAACAAACATAATGTAAATATACACTACAATGTACTGATTTCCACCTTGTTATAGCAACAAAGAAGATAATAAGTAAAGGCATTGGGTTGAAAATCAGAACTGGATTCAATTCATTACTCTATCATAATTAGTTGGGAACTTTTGGGCATGTTTCCAAATCTCACTGAGTTTTAATCTCTCTGCACATAAAATTAAGGGAATTATGCAAAGTTGCCTCTAAGGCTCTTTTAAGTTCTGTGATTATCTTCCTTCTAAGGAAATTGTTTAATACAGGTGGAAGGGTTAGAAAGAATTTGTGGCAGCGAAATTTTCATGTTTTGTTAAAACTTAAAGGCTTTTGTTTGTTTGTTTGGGGGGCTATGTGTGGAAAAGTGCAGTGGCTCCTCCTGGCACCATGCTTGAGGGTTGTTTCATGTAGTGCTTAGGGGACCACATGGTGACTTGGAATGAATCTGGGTCTTCTGCATTCAAAGCATGGTCTTCAGTCCATTAAGCTAGATCAATAGCCCTAAAAACTAAAATTTTTAAATAAATGTATTACATATACTCCATAACTTGCTTCTTTCTCTGCGAGTTATTAGTTACTTGTGGGTAAATAATAGTAAGGAATAGTTATCAATTGAATTTCAGATTTACATATTGGTTTAAGAAAAGCAACATTATGTGTGTCGTTAATGATTTGACTGCACTGACAAAGTTAAAAAAAATTAAAATAAAAAATTAAATTAAATTAAAAAGGCTTTTCAGGGTAAATGAAACTTAAGCTAAAATAAGGAAACCCTACTCAATGGGAGAATATGTTTGTGTAGATTTTATCATAAACAGGATAATATCTAAGATAGATAAAACACCAATGACACAATGATAAAACATTCAGTGACAACCAAACTCCATCCCAAAATGAGGAGAGATAGATAATTTTCTGATAAAGACAATCATATGACCAGCAAGCATCTGAAAACCAGTCAGTCACTTAATATCAGGAAAATTCAAATAAAAACGACATAGCACTTCATACCAGTAAGAATGGCATAAATAAAAAAAAAGATTAGAAATGATAGGTATTGGTTGTGATGCCATGAAAAAGGAACTTTTATTCACTATGAGTGGGAATGTCATCTGGTTCATTTTCTGTGGCAAACAGCACAGAGATTTGTCAAAGAAAAAAAAAAAAGGACAAGAGGACACCCATACCACCCAGGGGTTCTATTTCTTGGCATTTACTCCCCAAACACAAAAACACTCATTCAAAAAGATACATGAGCAACTACCTTTATTGCAGCATTGGATACAATGATCAAGATTTAGAAACAACCCAAATGTCTGAAAGACAAGCACACAAAGAAGCTGGGGTAGGATCTGCACAGTGGAACATTATGTTAAACTTTTTAGTTCTCTGCAACTTGGAATGTTATGTGACATAAGTCAGAGAGAGGAAAAATATGGATGGATTTACTGCTCTGTGGTATATGGAGAAATAGAACAAGAGACTAGGTAATACTAAATGATGACAAAACCTTGTGTTTGGATGGAAAAACTCAAATTTCAAGCAGAGGAATGAAAGGAATTAAGTGATGAGGTAGAGGTGACATAGGGGCAGTCGTGGGGTTATTGGGAACTTTATTAGTGGTGGTTGTAGTGATTTTGTACATTAAAAACATAAATATTATACGATTATAATAACTTAGCATTGTCACTGTAGCACTGTCCTCCTGTTGTTCATCAATTTGCTCTAGCGGGCACCAGTAACATATCCATTGTGAGACTTGTTACTGTTTTTGACATATCAAATATGCCAGGCCACGGGAAGCTTTGCCAGGCTCTGCCATGCGGATGGGATACTCTCGGTAGTTTGCTGGGCTCTCCAAGATGGACAGAAGAATTGAACCAGGGTTGATCGCATGCAAGGCAAATGCCCTACCCGCTGTGCTATTGCTCTAGCCTGTCTGATTATAATAACTTAAACTAGAATATTATTAAAAATCAGTTTAATAAAGTTCATTACATTTGGATTTTCAACTCGACCAGAACATAATCTTTTGACACCTGATGACCTGTGATCCAGTAGTTAATTTTTCTATTATTGTATCAAGGGAAGTTCTGTAGAAAATGGGAAATATTAAGAAACTTGTAAGGAAACTTAGAGCATTCCACATCACTCTGTAGCTTCCTACCTCTCATCCTTGGGTATCTTTGAAGGGTAAAACATTAGTTTTTCATGTGTCATTATCTTTTAAAATAATACGTCCTAAAGTCAAGAATTGAGCAATAGCTGAAAGCACTATTCAAAATAAATGAAGATAAAAAAATATTGAAGCACCTGTTTTACAAAATGATTTAAATTCCAAGAATAGAGCTTCCTACTTGAACAATTGTATATACCACACCATACTGCCACCGAGGGTCTAGTTATCACATACCATCTTTCAGCTGACCCTCTACCTGTTCCTGTTACCCCACCTCTTTTTATCTCTGATAATCATTATTCAGAAGGAAAACATTTAGCCTTGTGTAACAGATTTTTCTTATTACTGGGAACAATTTGAGTCTTAGTTTGTACTGTTAATGTGATACTGCGACAACTCTCTATATTAATTCACATTTTAAGTCTCTTAACTACCTTGTGAACACTTGGAATTGTAGTTTACATTTTGTAGGTAAAGAAACTGAATCAATTGCCTTGAGAGGTAATAAGTGGTAGAATTACTAGGTCTGTGTGTCTCCTGAGTAATACAGATTTTTGTTAGGCACTCTGCTCTCGCTTGACAAAGCATATTAGCATCTGCCAATAAATATCCTATTTCAATAAGATTTCGCAGGTCCATATTATCCAAGTCCTGGAACACAATGGTTAATATCCTCATTTTGAAATATGAAGGCCTTGTCTGATTTTCTCTGTGATGTTTGTATTTCATTTCTGTATTCTGGCAAATGAAATATACTTTATTCATCTAGAAGCCTGAATTTTTTTCGCTGGTAGTTAGCATGTTTCAAAGAAGTGTGTTAATAGCAGAATGCTTACTTTGTACATATGCATCTTAGGGCAGAAAGCCAAACTGGGAAATCTGGGCACTGCCTGCTGGGTAAAGACATGTGAAACACACGCACGCACACACATACACACGCACACACACACACACACACAAACACACCACTGTGGTGGGTAGTTATGAAGAAGAGAACCAGGCATTTTGTTGACCAGAAAAAAAGTGAATTATATCATTATGCAGACTCATGGAATGGGGTCTAAAAGAGGTCTTAGTATTCAGTTCATTCAAATTTCAGTATGTTGTGAAGGAAAAAAGATAGAGTGTGTTCACAAACTAGACACCATATTTCTGAATTTCATCCATCCACCCAGTTTCTATATACTAGTATCAAATCTTCAGTAGTATGCTTATATTCATGTCTTAAAAATATCTACCGCTGAAGACTAGTCTGTATGAGTTGCACTATATTGTTTCAGATCGAGAGAAACTAGGAGTGACTAAAATCTTGGGGTCAAAGTAATCTGAGTTCTAGGGCCAGAAATATAATATGCGTGTTATGGAACTTTATAAATGTGGCTAATATTTTCTTGATATAGTTCAAAGTTAAAGATAGCAACATTTCTTTGTTCTGCTTTACTTGTTAAAGAATATTTTATGAAAGTCTTTAGTTGAATATATTAAAATTTCCAAGTACCACCCGCTTCATTATTATTATCATTCTCATAATCTCTTTTATACGAGCCTAACTCAATGAGATACTTTTTAGAAATTTTATTTTCTTTTTAAATAAAGAAATACAAATTCATAATTTAAAAGGAACTAAATTTGTCAAGAGCTAACAAAATGCAATGAGATTTCATTGTTTTCATAGAGACTTCAGGTTTATCCAAAAGAATGGGAAATACACTGCTCTCCACAAATAGTTGAAACTATATAAGCAATAAGCAATTTTCTAAAAAAATAAAATTCATTCAAAAATCAATTTTTCTGTGCAAGACTGTAGCACTGTCCTCCTGCTGTTCATCAATTTGCTCAAGTGGGCACCAGTAACGTCTCCATTGTGAGACTTGTTACTGTTTTTGGCATATCCAATACTCCATGGGGAGCTTGCCAGGCTCTGCTATGTGGGCAGAATACTCTCAGTAGCTTGCTGGGCTCTCCAAAAGGGACGGAAGGATCGAATCCAAGTTGTCTGTGCAAGGCAAATGCCCTACCCACTGTGCTATTGCTCCAGCCCGTGGTTACTGTATCAGATGATAATTACAGCCTTTTCTAAAAATCTTCTAAGTGGGGTAGGAACTGCGTTGTACATAGCTGACCCTTGTTCGATTCCCAGCATCTCATTTGCTCAAGACTATCCAAATATATTACACTGAAAACAAATGTTCTCTCAAAGGTTTTCTTAGAAGATCTAATAACTAAAAGACAACAAAGGGGTCTACAGGATTATAAAGAGAAAAAGGGACCAAAAGAGAAAGAAACTTCCTATTTCTTCTTTTTTTTTTAAACCATAATGAGATTCTAAGTTGATGTGAAGGCATGTCAATTTAGATTATGCCATTAGAGCTCAGTTATGTATTCACATTCATATAAAAATAGTTCTAGATCAATACAACATGTATTAAATTTACATTAACATTTAAATTAATGAGGAACACATTTTGAATTATGAAGCTTTAGATGTTTGGACAATGTCCATTCTTGCTAAT